TGGGGCTCTGCCGGCGCGGCCGGGCTTAAGCCCTTCTGCCATGGCCGCTCTTGGAGCTGGCTGTGGTTGCGGCGTGGTTTCGGTTGGAGCGGAGTCTTCTTAAAAAGCGTTTGACTGAACTTTGCCGGCTTTGCCTGGCGGGTTGGAGTCTTCTTCCAGTAAACCTTCTCCCTGTTACTCCCGGGGGGCGGGCGGGTGCTGCTGTGTTACTTGGTTGGAGAATGGCCCCGGCGTTGCTTGTGGTTTTTTAAAATGTCTTTTGTTTCTTTTAGATTAAGTTATACACGAAGCATGGTACTCTGAAATACCAGACGGATTGTGCTCCGAACAATGGGTATTTCATGATTCCCCTCTATGATAAGGTGAGAAGCTGGAATACCACTGCTGTCTATGCAGGAGGCAGGAGCTGCCTCCACGTTCAGATCTGCCAGCAGGTAGAATGTCAGAAGAGCACCCACCCGTTAAAAGTTTGAAGCAGGAAATAATTTACTTTGGTTTGGACCAAACTTTCAACTGTTTCTTCTTGTAATTCAACTATATTATTTCTTGGTGCTAAGTGTTATCATGAGAAAAGCCAGGTAACTTCAGCTGCAGTGTCGTGTTTGTGCTCTTTATCTGCATGACTGTAGCATTGGGAGCCTGAATTACTGCCAACAGCCATGTACTAACACCTGTATAAATACTGCACAAAAAGTACAGATTTCTGTGGACTGCAGATGAGGCTTTTGGTTAGGTACCCGTAGAAGTGAAAATACATAGTATTAGAATGTTCTCATATGACGGAATTGGGAATAACTTGAATGACTAATTGCTGATATTGAAAATGTCTTAAGAAGATAACAGTACAGGAGGTTCAGAATGTATCAAAAGTTTAATGTCTGTTTAGACTGGGCAGATGTTTACAGTCGAATGAAATACATGCTGCCCTCGGATGGTCAAAGTGTTTTATTCTTTTAAAGGGCTAGTTAACTTGGAGATCAGAAACAGAATCATAGAATGATTTGTGTTGGAAGAGACCTTTAAATGTCATCTAGTGCAAACACCGAACAAACTTTCCCTTCCCAATCTAAGAATGTAAGATCCTTTCTTATCTGGGTGTTTTCATTCTTATATCTTTGAGCCTTTCCATGGATGAACTTCAGAACGTATGTGGCAGAGCATGTGGTGCCCACTGATTTAAAGAGGGTCTCTGTGTAGGTTAATGCCCAGTGGTGCAGAGCTCTTAATAAGATTGAGAGGTTGTTATCCCATGTTTGGACAGGATGGTTGAGTAGGACCTCCTAGTGGAAATACTAAAGGCTGATTTAGAGCACATCTGTTGGGCAGGTAGAGATAGATTTGAATACTTTCTAACACTGAGCTGCTTGAACATGAGCCAGATTTGATCTGGAAGCAGTATAAACATGATGGCACTTAATTTTTGCTCTTAGCTAGCTGGATGTGAGCCCAGCATCCCAGCCTGTGTGGGTACATACTGCTGCTGCTTTGAACAGAGTATCTTAGGAGGAAAGGAGAATGGGGCATGAGTTACTCTCTGGAGCATGATGCTCGTGTTCTGACTGTTTTTTTCGTCCTTAAGGTGAACTGAATTTAGATCAGTGAAGACAGTTACTGTTTTTTTATTTTTAGGGTGATTTCATTCTCAAAATTGAGCCTCCCCTAGGGTGGAGTTTTGGTAAGTACTTGTATGTCTTCTTACAATAGGACAGTGTATCTGCAATGTGGGACTTAACTGCCTCTAACTTGTAGTTGGCAAGGAAAAAATCAAGTGCTTTTCAAAAGAGATAAGCCTTACTGTATGGTTTTAATGACTGAAAGGTATTTACTGTACCAGAGGACAATAAAGCTGTAAGGTTGACACTGACAAAATAACCCATGAACTGATTTTGACAGAAATGGATGCAGTGGGATGGGGAAAGAGGATAGTCAACATCAGTATTTGTGGTTGCTTTAACTTTAGTGAGGCAAGACTTCCAGAACAACACTTCTGTGCTTGAGTTAATGCATTTCTGTGAGAGTTTTGTAAAGCTAAAGTAGATTTGCTTCATGATTGCTCTCATTAACTGCTATGCTGTTTCATTGTTCTTCCTCTCCAGAACCAACCAGTGTAGACATCCATGTGGATGGCATTAATGACATTTGCACAAAAGGAGGTGATATTAACTTTGTATTCACAGGGTTTTCTGTGAATGGAAAGGTTAGACTCCTTTATAATTATTTATTCCATCTTAGGCTAATTCTACCTTCATAAGAACATCTGCTATAGCTCTTCAAGTTATTTTTATCCATTTATACTCTGGTTTCTTTTCATTTTGACAGGTTCTTAGCAAAGGTCAGACATTAGGTCCTGCTGGAGTCCAGGTTGTACTGAGAAATGCTGGCAGTGACATAAACCTACAAGCAACTATTACACAGTCTGGAGGAAAGTGAGTGTGGGTGGTGCATACTTAATTCGTCTGTTCATTTACACAAGATTCTTTCAGTTCTGCCATATCAATGGGAATTATAGTTGTTCTGAAATATTTTTTCTAATGTGCATAGAGTCTGAGTTGTTTTTCTGTAAACAAATGTTTGTGACTATTGCTGAAGAGATGAAACCCTTTTTTGTGACTTACAGGTTTGCTTTCTTCAAAGTGCTTCCTGGTGAATATGAAATCTTTGCATCTCATCCTACCTGGATGTTGAAAGAGGTTAGAACCTACAAAAGTTCTTGTTTACCTGTTTAGTGAAGGTGGATCTGCTAGACCTTGTCTTGATCAACTAATGTGAGGAAGGTTTTTTTGTGAGTGGACAAGGTTAATGGAATTTTCATAAATTTAATTTAGGTGCTCAAGAAACTGCTTCATGCAGGCCCAGTTTGGAGGTAGTGGAGCCAGCCAGAGGACTGGCAAATGAGCTTTTGCTTTGGGTCTTCTAATCCTATAAATTTTGCAGGAGCTTCAATATTGTAGCAGATGCTCTAGTCCTTTCCTGTCAGACTGCTTTCTTTCTGAGGAGCTTTGGTATCCTGACCAATTCCTGAATCAGTAAAATGGGGAAATACTGTTTTGCAAAGCAAATCTTTGCTTTAGTGTCTTTGTGTATGGAATAGCCTGTGGACACTCTCTGAATACTGCTGCTCTGGCCTCTGCTTCTGTTGCTGAATATACAGTTTCTGACTGTTATTTAGGTGCTGTAAATGAGTTCCAATGCCTGCTTTTGATGAAAACGTCTGTTTTTTCTGTATTTCAGTCAAACACGGTGGTACGGGTGACGAGTTCTAATGCCTATGCTGCTAGCCCTCTGATTGTTGCAGGCTACAATGTTTCTGGGTCAGTAAGGAGTGATGGAGAACCAATGAAAGGGGTCATGTTTCTTCTTTTCTCCTCATCAGTCACTAAAGAGGTAATGGTGTATCGGAACTTTTTCAATGTGAGTACGGACATAAATAAGAAGCAGCTCCCAGAAATAGCTTCCAGATTCATATTGTCCTGGTGCTCAGTTCTGTCTGTCATTGAGCTTGGCTTTTAGAAAACCTAAACTGTGTAACCCCTCAAGCTGCCTTTTATTTTAATTTTTTAGTTTGTTGTTTCTTTTTTTCATAAGGCATACAACATTTGTGTACATGCTGAATTTTCACATGGTTTCTGTGGAGTTACTCAGCTGTGTAACACAATAGCCATCTGTTTAAATATTGGAAAAATTAAGGCTTACATATTTTAGGGACAAAAGAAATTAGAAAATTATTTTAATTTTGTCTCTTTTGAACTCTTCATTGTTGTTTTCAAATTATGAGATTCCTCAACCATCAAGCTGTTTGGGGAAATGGAAATTAAGACCAGAACTGAAGCAAGCAACAAGTGCATGTTACTGATCTGTATATTCCCTGTGGGTCGGCAAGGTTAAGGGCTACAGGTTTAAGAGTGTTTTCCCAGTTACACCTTTTTACATGTTAAATCTTGGTTAGTAAATGTGTTCCCTCAAGAGGATAACATTTGTGGAAATGAGCTTCTGGGGCAAGAGGCACAAGATATTGCCAGACAAATCCTGAAATTATGAAATTCACTGTGCAGTTGCTGTAATTTGACTTTGGCATGAGGTCCTAATTGCTCTTTGCCCCTTTGATGTGAAGACAAAGTTCAACAGCTTCTTTTGACACCTCAGAAGTGCGTTATGAAGTGAGGGTGAAACATTTGGTCATGTACTGTGGTTGTTCTGTAGGGTAGAGCTCTGTTCTGTAATGTTAACCTTGTCCACAGAACTGAAGTCAGTTAATGTTAAGACATGCAATGCAGTTCTGGGGTACTGGGAAATGTTGAATTTCTCAGTTTTCAGTCCTTGTTACCATAGAGCTGATTATTGGCTGTTTTTTCTTTTTACCTATACATGAATTTTAAGCCATGCTATCAAACTTTGCCTCTAAAATGGTTTTGTACTTCCCATCCTTCATTCAGAGTATAGTATTGCGAACCCTCCTACATCCTCCTTGAAATTATTTTGTTTGCTGTCCCATGAGGAGAAATACGTTGTATTGCATTTATTGTCACAGGATGTTGTGGGCTGCAATATTTCTCCTGTGGATGGATTCCAGTCGAGAGATGACTCTCTATCCTATTTGTGCAGTGTTGTATCAAAAGAAGATGGATCTTTCAGCTTTCTTTCTCTGCCAAGTGGGAAGTACACTGTGGTAAGTAGCTAGAAAGTTCATTGCTCTTCTCTTTGTTGGGTTGTTAGCTTTCATTTTCTAAACTAGGACATGGATAAGCTTGTGGCTTTTAAAAGAGAAATAGCTGAAATGTTTTTAATTGGATGGAATAATTTGTATGGGAACCTCCAGCCTAAAATATATGACAGTGAAGTAAGTTGCTGTGATAGGGCTTTGTGTTGTGGTCTCTGAGGAAGGGCTCATTTGCAAATCAGGATCTGAATTACCTGAGTATTTTATACAGTCACAGAACAACACCTGGAGGCTTCTGGAGAGAGAAAGTTTCAGTTGGGTACAGCCACCCTTAAGTTCTTGGTTTTCTTTTTTGTCCATTCACTTTATTAAGTCTGGGATGAGCGGGAGCATGGTTGTCTGTGCACTGCCTGGAGTGATGGGCCTGCATTCTCAGTCTGCATGTTCTAGAAGTGGGATTCCAACTTCTGCCATTCCTTTAACCCATTTAGCAGTTGTATCGTCTCATCTCTTATCTGTAAGCTCTTACACATGCAAGTACTTTTGCTATATACTGAACAGAGGGTTACTTTTCTGGCTCTTTAGGTAGTCTCATATGGTTTCCATCAAACAGTCATACTGCCTTTTGTTCTTGTCTCCATCCCTCTGAATTACCTTTTCCAGGGAGCTTGCAGGCCATTTGACCCTTGGTAGAGGTTTCTGATGGTGATGACATGGAAGATGGTGAAGGAAAACCATTGTGTCATCATAGCTTCTGAGGGGTCAAAACAATGTCTCTTCTTTCAGATCCCATTCTACAGGGGAGAGAGAATTACCTTTGATGTTGCACCATCTAGATTGGACTTCGTTGTAGAGCATGACAGTTTACAGATTGAGGTAAGGCATTCAGGGGAAATAATCTTTTTCTGCCATTGATTACTGCAAAAGTATAACTGATTTTAACAGAAAGCAGGTGTGTTGTGGAAAAACTTCTCTGTAAGAAGTTTGATTTGTTACACCACCCTTGCACAGCAGGTTGAAGACTATTAGCATCCTGCTTTATTTCTACAATTCAGCCTCTTTTCCTAGGAAGAAACAAAATAGTGAAAAGCTGTCTGCTGTGTTCAGTTTCATGTCATGTTGCAAACAGGTGATCATCTTTCAGGTTGCTTTTTCTCATTCAGATTGTCAGATCTCTGGAGGAGGGCCTGTAGGTCTGTCTGGTTTGCAGGGTGCCTTGTGTAATCACATCATGATCTGTGATTTGGGCCTTCTGAACTGTACTGGTGAAGATAAATTGAGGATCTGTTCTTGTACTTAGGGGAACAGTATGCCTGGAGATTGATATGTCCTTTCATTGTGATTATCCTGGTATGTTTTCCTCCTAAAGCTGGAAATAAATTTCATTTATATGTGCGTGGGCAGAAAACAGGCTGTGTTGATTGCTGTAGGTGTGTGTTTGCTTTTACTAAGTAATGATTAATGCTAACTTTTTTCTCATTTCAGCCTGTTTTCCATGTGATGGGTTTCTCTGTCACAGGCAGGGTGTTGAATGGTCCTGAAGGAGAAGGAGTTGCTGATGCCACTGTGACTCTGAACAATCAGATAAAAGGTATGCGGTGGTCTTGGTCTTTGTTGCCACAGGGAAGCCTTTATTAATCTCAAGTACAGAAGTGGTGTGTGAGTTGGAATTAACCCTTCAGGGTATTACATCACTTCTGTTGCAATTTATTTGAAATATTAAAGTGGTTTTCATGCAGTTGGTTAATTTTGTGGTTTTTGTCCTAGGTGAGAACAATAGGTATTCATTTGTTTTTTTTGTTGAATATTTCTTAGTTTCTTTCAACCGTATGCCAAATTGTGCTTTGAAGTTGAGAAATGAAGATTGTTCTAATAAGGAAGCGTGATACTGTTTCTTTGTTGTGCAGTGTAAATTAAAAATAGCCTTAAGCATGCCCCCTGGCTTTTTTGATACACAAGGATAGACAGTCAACACACGCTTTGTTTTTTAACTCTTCCTGTTATTTGTTACAGTAAAAACAAAATCCGATGGCTCTTTCCGCCTTGAGAACATAACAACAGGTACATACACAATTCATGCCAGAAAGGAGCATCTGTTCTTTGATACTATTACTGTGAAGATTGCACCAAATACACCTCAGCTAGCAAACATCATTGCAACAGGGTAAGTATTGGTGTTGTGATGAAAATGTGATTGGATAAATGGACAGGGTCTTGAAAATGGGTGATTCTTTCCAACATTATGCCCAGTCTCATGTGCTGTTGTCAGGAGCTAAATGTTGGAGAAATGCAAGGTAAACAGGACAGCATGAGTGCAGGGTAATGTTTTGTCCACAGTATTTTGCTCAATATAGTTAAGTTTTAGACCACTCCCTTAGTAGCCTCTCCCTTGCAAAGGAAGATGCTAAGGCTGAGCAATTTTAGAACAGTATGTGAACCAAGTAGGGAGCAGAGAGGATCTCTGCCACTGATGCTGCACTTCAGATATGCTGCTTTGCAAGAGTGGAGTTACATTAACCATGTGGTGCAGCATTGTACCAAACCTCTACATTTTATTGCTCACTCTCAAAGTCAGAGTTGTCTTACCTGAATTGGCTTTCTCTTGTTTGTGATTCTTTGATTTCTGGGCATAAGCCTGTATAATGGGGACAGGATGATTTTGGGACTGTAAGGCTGTGCAGTGGTCGCAGATAGTGTGACCTGAGGAAGACAAAAGGGGCATGGTTCTGTGGCCAGGAGCTTCTCCTGAGGAGGAAATAGTGGCCACCTTCCAGAGAGGTGAAAGCTAGGAATTTACCCAGGCAAATGGCAAATAGCCCATACAGATTTAGCTGGCTAATTAGAAAAAACCCTTAGTGATGGTAAATGATCAGTTACAGTTTTTTTCAGTCCTTAAATATGTTCTGCTGCTGAAGGTGAGATGTAAAACCTAACAACTTCTAATTTGTCATCTTGTCTTGTGTTTTCGCAAACACAGTTCTGTTCCCGTGAGTTACCCATCACATTTGAGGTCTTGCACATAAACCATTTGAAACCAAACTATCTAAAACCTGAGGGATGGCAACTCTAAGTCTGTTGCCTGCCTAGCCAAAAGGGGGGAAGAAAAAAAAAAAGGGTGTGGGTTGGTGTTGGAGGAGAGCGAAGAAAGTTGCTTGTAAATAAGGATGTAACATAACATCGTGGTGACTACATTGCAAAAGAAAAGATCTCATAGATGGGTTTGTATTTGCTCCACTGTGTGTGTTTTATAGTATCTCTTTGATATGAGCACGTTGAGGAGAAATCCATTCCAGTTCATGTGTTAGTACCTCAATACAGTGAGTTTTACTTTTTAAGGGGTTTTTAAAACAAGTGTTTTTTTAATGAGCTTTGTGAAATGAAGATATTTAGTCTGATGGCTTTTTTTTATTTAACAGATTCAGTGTGTGTGGCCACATCTCAGTAACTCGTTTGCCTGACACAGTCAAACAGATCAGTAAATACAAGGTAACCATGACGTCTCAAGACAAGGACAAAGCATCACTGGTTACAACAGAAACTGACCCTCATGGAGCATTTTGTTTTAAGGCAAAATCGGGTACATACAATGTTCAGGTAAGAATGAGCTTCTGTTTCTTCTTTATAGGACTGTCATGAGCTTTTAGAAGATTTTAAGCATTTAATTTCTAAAAATTGAAGAGTAATTTAGATTTTCTTGCTCCTTTTCTACTGTTTGTGTGGTTTAAATAATGACACTTATTTACTTTTTTTTTTTTCTGTAAGCTGAGAAAGCTGAGATTCCCAAGCTCCTTGTCCTTTACACTTATTTAATAAGGGAAATCAGACCGTTGGGGTTGAAAGCTCTTATTTCTGTCTCCTTTTATTTGTGGTGTACCTTAGATCACTTCTTACTATCATATGTTATCCTGTGAATGAGACACATAATGTCTGCCTTCCTCAGGTACTTAAATGGTTCCTGAGATGATAGGTCACAGCAGAACCTGTAGCACAACCACCATGAATTTTGCATTGTGGGGGACAGTGCAGGCTGGAGGATAAGGAAGTGCATGGTTGTAAGTGCATTACTGTCCACACAAGTAATGAATTAGTCTAATGGAGGCTGATTCTGAACATCCTGAAGTGAAGTTCATTGAGACTTTGGAAACTTAGCTCTTTGGAGGATTTTGTAGCTCAGTTTATTACAGTTCTTATGATGTTTTTTAATATAGAATTTTGAAAAGCATGTTGGGGAAGGTGATTTTTCTTTGCTTGGGATTTAAGGTAAATTTCCATTTTCTAATTTCTGATAAGTAGATTGAATTCAGCAGAGTGTGTGTATTTGGGCTGGTATCTAAAAGCTAGTGACGTGTTGATGTCGTGTACTCTACAGGTAATTATTCCAGAGGCTGAGACCAGAGCAGGATTGGCTTTGAAACCCAAAATGTTCCCTGTTACTGTTGTGGACAGACCAGTGATGGATGTGACCTTCTCTCAGTTTTTGGCATCCATCTCGGGGAAGATCTCTTGTTTAGGTAAGCCCTGTTTGAAAGTGAAGGGGAAGTGGGAGCAGAGAACTTCAGCACTGTGCATGTGAATGAGTACTGTTTAGGTCAAGACACTTGCTGTGGTGAGACCCGTCAGCAGGTAAGTATATTTAACTTTGTAGATAGATAAAGCACCTCTGTTTTTTGGAAGACTTTACAGCCCAATAACATACCTCAGTAAAGTTTGGAGTAAAGTTATGTGTCTATTTTTCATAGTTGCCAGGAGAAGGCAAGTATTCAAGTAGGGATACTGTACATCAATCAGAGAAGTCCTGGAGGCAAAAAAGAGATTTAAAAAGGAAAAAAAAACCCAAACAGTGCATGTAAGAATCTCTACCATAGAGGATCAAGCTGTTGACAGAAGCTTGCAATCTTTGTCCTTTTTCATGTCTAAGGTTCCTCTCCCCTGCTGTTTTCCTTGATTACCCAGTGATTTCAGCAGATGATGATTGAAGCTTGAGTTTTGTCACTTTTACCCCTTCCTTTTTCCTCTCGGAATCCTCCTTGTGCTTTGTGTTCTGTCTCTCAGGTGTTTACTGGGCCCTGTAGCCTCCACAGAGTGAGGTGGACCCAGGGATTTAATGTTGGCTTCTGGTTGTTACTTGCAATTAGATATAATTAGGGCATGATTAACAGTTTCAAACTTTCTGAATAATGAAAAAAGCACTAGTAAATGTGCTTAAGAAATAAGAATTTTAGTTGGAAGCATTCTCTACTGGAAGAGAACATAATTTTAAGGCTAGTACATGTGAAGCTTGCTTGGAGTGGGGGTTGTGGAGGCAAAGCTGGCAAGGCAGAAAGCAGTCTCATTTTCTGCTGTCTTCTCTGTACAGATGCTTGTGGTGATCTGGTGGTGACATTACAGTCTGTGAGCCGCCAGGGTGAAAAACGCAACCTGCAGCTCTCTGGAAACGTGGACTCAGTGGCCTTCACGTTTGAAAATGTGCTACCTGGCAAATACAAAGGTAGGATTATGGGGAACTGCTTGAAGTGTTACCTTAGGAGCTAAACTTGTGACTTCATCTGTATACTTCTGTTATTATGGATACCATTTACAGCGTGCCCAACAGAGAACAAGTTCTGAAACTTCAGAGAATCTGGAAAAATACTGCACAACAGTGCATCAAGTTATCTTAATCTCCTGTGTTTAATCCTTTTGTCAGCTTACAGGTAACTGTTCCCCTAAGTTTTAGGGTCTGTGTGGCTGGTGTGAGGAAAAATGGCTTTTTCCAAGCCTAAGAATGGGGCAATAGTTCTTCTGCTTCCAGAGTCCCTCTCCTAAGAGCAGTGTGAGAAGCAGTATGCTTTTTGGTCAGCCTGCCTTGGCCTACTATGAAAATAAATTGTTTTCCAGGGACAGATGTTCAAGGGATACATATGTGTTGTTCTTTTTATACATGAGTCAGAACATCTTTCCACCAGGTGAAACTGGAATTAGGTTCTCATGTCCTCTAGGCTTTTTTTGACTATCACAATGGTAGTGCATGTTGCAGAACTTTGCAAGGTGACCAGACTTCATTATTCCTTTTTAGCATAGCTTTTCTGTTATGAGGTTTGCTGGATTCCTGGTGATGCCACAGTGCTGTGAGCCAGGTCTTTTACTGCAGTCATTGTATATATGGTTTTGAGGGTGATTATCAGGGAAGTTAGAGTGATACAAACTTCTAATACCACAAAACCTGCCTTTATTTACAGTTTTGCATTACTAAAATATTTGTGTGATGTGTATTCTAGTAAGCATTGTACATGAAGACTGGTGCTGGAAGAATAAGTCTTTGGAGCTAGAAGTCACGGAGGAAGATGTTTTGGGAATAGAATTCAGGCAGACTGGATACATGCTGAGGTGCTCTCTTTCTCACGCAATTACGCTGGTACGTGGGTAACAAACATCCTTCTCTTTTTTAATGAACTGGAGTAGGTCGGTTGGGTTATGCTTGGAATCAAGGTTTTCTTATGTTGCTACAGAGTCATATAGCACAGCAGCACTGATTTTTAGAGTACTTTGAGATTTGTCTTAGATTTGGTAAGGTAGTCTTGGGTTGTTAGCTTCTATAAAAGAGAAGCATTAGTGCATCTTTAGGCAAATGGTGTTTTCATTTTGTTGTTTGGTAGTTAGTAATACTGAATTATGTTGTGGCTTCACAGGAATTTTATCAGGATGGCAATGGACCAGAGAACGTTGGTGTTTATAACCTGTCCAAAGGAGTTAATAGATTCTGTCTTTCAAAGCCAGGTAACGGTTCTAAAATGCTAGTTTAAAAACTGAAGAAAAAACCAGTCAGCTAATACTGCTGGGAATAAAAATAAAACCAAAATAAAATCTATTGGGTTTTATTTACATCTGTATAGAAAAATCTGTTCAAAGTTTTCAGAATTCTCCTAGTAGTTAGTCCTTCACCTGAATTTAGATTCCAGAAGTAAATTTTTTTTTTGCCTTGTTGTGAAGGGCTTTGATCTTTGAAGATTAAAATAATCTTACTCATATGAGTTCTATTTGTCAGTCATATTAGAATGTGACTGACATATAGAAGTTTCATTTCAGTACAGGATTCTTGAAGGATAACTGTTAAAAGTACACAGGGTTGTCTGTAACAGGAAAAAAAGAATGTTTTAAAATTGGGGGGTTTTACTCTTTTTAATGTCTCATAGATAATTCTCTGTTATGTCCCCTTAGCAAAACAGTATTAACACATGTATTTGGGCTTGATTCAGTTTTCTACTTAGAAGACTTCACCCGTAGAGCCAGTGATCTCATTCACAGTGCAATAATGCAATGGTTCTATAATCACTCATAGGTGTCAGCTATGGGACCATAACAGGTTACTTCTGGGCTTGTTTGGTTTGTTGTGTTTGTAATTATGTTTATCTGTAGTGATGCCTAATCGTGTTTTGTATTGGTGTACTTTAGAAACTGTGCAGCTTCCAACAGGGGTCTATGACAGAACAGAGCCAAATTGTTTCTGTACCTCAGGCCTCATGTGATTTGAGAATTCAACCAACACAATAAGCTTATTTTTTTCAGTGGATCATTCTTTGACTTGATGTTTACAGGTGTATATGAAGTGACCCCACGTTCCTGCCACCAGTTTGAACATGAGTATTACACTTATGACACGTAAGAGCAAAGTCTGGTTTTGATCTTATGCCAGTCAGTGTCTGATAAAGCTTCCTTTTACTGCTTCAGTGATTCAGGATGGCTTGCTATGACTGTAACCGATAGAGGGATGCTTTAGCAAAGTGTAGCAGATTTGTTCTCTTGCCCTTTCTAGTCTTAAAAAAAAAAAAAATCAACTAATGATAGGCTTTAAAGATGCTTTTGCTACTTTAAATGGATAATTGTCAGCCTTCTATCTGTTTAACATTAGCTTTGCTTTGCAACAGAGGAGAGGTATTGCAGTGGAAACTGTTGATCACTTGTGAGATTAGACCATGCAAAAGATATGATATTAAGTTTTCCAAGAGACAGGTACCACTGTTGTACATCCCCAGTGCCATGACTCTGTGGTGATTTGATTCTGTTCACCCCAGTTTTTGCAAGCTGAATATTCACCCTCATCATAAGTAAGCTGATCTTCCTAAGTCAACCGTGTTTTATCAGTTATTTATAAGTTATGGTCTAGCCATGTGCTTAATGGCTTTTTGCCTCTGAAGAGATGATTTCTGCTCCCAGACTACTTCTAATTCATGTCCATAGCAGAAAACAAACTCAGCATTTAAGAGGTATGTAAATTTGTGATAGCTAGCACAAAGTCAGTGAATGGTTAGGAGCATAATCCCTTTCTTGGCAGCAAAGCACCATTAGACTTGGGGCATCTTGATGAACTAAGTCTAATATGACAAACCTTTGGGTGTCTTTCTGTGTGTAAAGGGGTTGCACGTATGGAATCAATTGTATTAGCTTTAGGTTGAAAGGAAGCAGGAGACACAAAGGAAGGAATTGTTTTGGCCAGTGTCGTGTGGTGGTTTGGGGTTCAGAGCTGGAAAATGCTCCCTTCCCAGTGTGCTGTCATCTCGGCACCACGGCTTTGCTGTGTAATTTGACTGTTTTCTTCAGGAGGGAGACCTTGAGTTCACCTCTTTGTTACTTTGATTTACAGGTCCTCTCCTAGTATACTGACGCTCACTGCAGTTCGACACCATGTCCTTGGCACAATTGTGACAGATAAACTGATGGATGTCACTGTTACCATTAAGTAAGAGCAAAGAAATCGTGGGGCTGTAAAAAGCGCAAGAAAAAGAGGTCTCTCATCAAGTGTTACTCTGGTTTTAATACCACAGTGGCTGCTTGAAAGGTGTTGGCATCCAACTCTAGACTGCAAGTGGTTTTTATGCTAAACTGTGCTTTGAGGTATTTGTGGACAGATAAATAATTCCCAGCCCTCAGTTTCAGTAATGTCGCTTCATTTCAATACAGTGCCTTTCTGCTTGTGTGTCATGGTAAAAAGAAATGCTTTCCTGAGGTTTTGTGTGCACTTTAATGAACCAAAATTTCAGTATTCGGAAGGTATGTTTTTTAGCTTAGGTTTGAACTCTTTACCACTGTCATCTCTTTTTTTCCTTTTTTGTTTCCTCAGAATGAGAATTTACTGCTGTAGAGCATTGTTACTAGTGTGAAGAGGGTTATAAAAGGAAAACCATGCAGAGAGATTACACACTAATGTGTCGATTTATGTTTAGCTAAACAGACAGCTCACTAGGGAGCACTGATTTGTGAACAGCTTTAACTCTGTGAGGTGCCAGATCTGCCTGGAAAGTGTCTGATAATAATGAGTGTTTTATTAATGCTATGCTGATGTCCACTTGTTCTAGACTGTGTGGTCTCAAACTTTTTTTGAGTGTAGAAAACATTTTTTCAGAGAACAAATTACCTGTAGAGCATTGCCTCGAGTTGCCTGAATTTAATGAACCTGTAACTGCAACTGCTTGGCAACTACAGCAGCTGGGAAAAAAACACTGAGGCAGGAGAGAGCCATTGGGATTTTAAAAACAACTTACTGAGGAAGTGACTATTATACTGACCTTCTAGGTTGGTTGGGGTTTTTGAGGCTATGGACAAGTCCTTTGAAGGCAGTTCAGCTGCCACAGGTGGTGTCTTTTCAAGCCTATCATCTGAAGCTTTTCAGCCAAAGTCCAGTTTGTGAGCTGCCATCAACATAAAAGGAACAGTTCTGGTTTTAAAAGGAAGCCAGTTGTTTTTACAAGCCTGTGTTTGTGTACCAGATCCATGGCAGTGACCTGTTAACTTTCAGTCAATCAAAAAAAACAAAGAACCCCAACGAAAAGTAAAGCTGATTCTTAAGAATTTTTGATGATGACTTGTTACATTTGAAAAATGAGACTGTAGTAATTTATTACTAATATAATCAGACTGTGTCTGTACAGATTTTTAATAGGTTTTAAGACAGTAAATTTTTTTTCCACGTTTCTGTATTGTCCTGACCACATTTGGCTGATGTTCAAATAGTTCAGTGTTGGAAGGTGTTCAAATCTATCTCCACCTGCCTCAACAGATGTGCTCTAAATCAGCCTTTAGTGTTTCCACTAGGAGGTCCTACTCAACCATTCTGCCCAAATACAGGCTAACAAACTTTCAAACCTATTAAAAGCTCTGCACCAAAAGGACATTAATCTATGTTTGAAAAATGAGACTGTAGTAATTTTGAATATCATGAGACTCTCTGTGTCTGTACAGATTTGTAATAGGCTTTAAGACAGTAAGGTTTTTTTTGATACATTTCCAATTTATCTCTGGACTGCAGAGGAAGATTTTAAAGCCTTGATGAAACTTAATGATGAAACCTTGATAGACTGATAGTATGTATTTCTTTTAAAAAGAACAAAATAGAATACAGGTGAAGACTGAAGCAGGAGTCAGAACTGCCCTGATAATCTAAAGAGGTTGTAGGAAAAGTAATCATGATCATTTTAGTTCACTCCTCGTAGAGAATTTTGCAATTCTGCAACAATTTTTGCAATTTCTGCAACAGTTTTCAGGCTGTTGTAGAAGAGACAGAAGATAAAATAGGGTGGTTAAGACTAGAAAAAATTGCTAGGAGAGGAGGGAAGATGAGGGAAAATGCAGTGAGACATTTCTCTGAGCTGATTTAAAGAACTTGGTTAAACTTGCCTTGCAATCTGTTTAGGGGACAGTGACAAGATCTCTGGGTAGTTTGAATATATAGGACAGATAGATTAGAACAGAACTTTTCCTGGTAACTGCCAGCCTTTGGAAGTATTTATCTGTGAAATAAGTTATTTTCTCCTTGTATACTCTACTGTTGAGAGGTAGGTTCTGAGTGAGTTTCTCTGGAAAAAAAAAAAAAAGTGAGCTTAGCAGTCTTTTTGTTTATTTTGTATAACTCATCTTTTCTGTATTAAGCTTGTTCTCAGGTTTGGAGTCCCAGCCTTTCTTCTTAGTTTAGGGCTTTATTACAGATACTTTTGCAGATGGATCCTTTGACTTGAGAACATAGCACTCCTGCTGGCTTGTCAGTGCTTCTGTGGGAGGTTATTGCTCCTGCAGCAGAGCTGGTGTCTGGCAATTGGTGGAAGATCAACTCTCTGCTTAGTAAAACCTGAGCTAAGACTCTGGACTGTGCAAAGTGGTTGAGGTGTAGGCATGTACCACTGGCTCTGCTGTGAGATGCTGGGGCACAGCAAGGGCAAGGAAGAGGCAACAGGGCCATAAATTCTTGAATGGTTGTGGCGTGGGGCAGAATTTTTGAGAATGGCAAGTAGGTCCTTTTCTGCTAGGCCAGGCAGGTTACCTGTAGTCCATGTGAATGAGCCTTTCTAGCAGTAGCTGATTAATACAGAGGTTAAAAGTATTAGTTATGCTTGGAATAAACAGGATTAAAAAGGAGTGGATTTAGAAAAAATAACAACCCTGGACTTGTCTGCTGTTGTATAAAGCCGGTAATTGGCAGATATAACAAGCTCTTATCCCTCCATATGAAAGGAGATGATTTTGTTTTCTATTGCATATTTTCAGGTCATCCATTGACAGTGAACCTGCCTTAGTTTTAGGGCCCCTGAAATCTGTACAGGAGTTACGTAGGGAGCAGCAGCTGGCAGAAATTGAGACCCGTCGACAGGAGAGAGAAAAGAAGGGTCAAGAGGAGGAAGGAGCAAAGCCACCAGTGCAAGAAATGGTAGAGGAACTCCAAGAACCATTCTTATATGAGTTTTCCTATTGGGCAAGGTAATACCAAGCTCCAATGGACAAGGTATATTCTTTGTACTGTTGTCTTTGTACTGTTGTCTGGTGTTTCCACCTAACAGGATAGTGACATATTCCTTACAGGAAAGAGCTCCTGTATCTGTGCCTGCTCTTGTTGACTGCCAGCTAAACGGAAGCTAGTACCACATAACACGAATTTGGTCTTGTTGATACTTTTTCCTGGAGGTGTTTAGATGGATTCTTGGGTTAATATGCAGTACTCTGTTCTACCTGAGAGTTGCTAATTGCATTTTCTTTTAATCATATCTTGTTCGTGCTCTACAGGTCTGGTGAGAAAATTACTGTAACACCATCATCAAAAGAACTGCTTTTTGAACCACCTTATGTGGAGACAGTTGTTAGTGGAGGTAAATATAAATAAAATCTGGTTTGAAAGGATTAGATTCTCGAGGCAGAAATGTATCCTTGTAGATAGGCCTGAGTAGCTTTTCAGAGGTAACGTTTGCAAAGTTTCAGTTGCAGCTGTTTGTTTGTGCCAGTTCCACTCTGAAACTAGGAAGCATGGGTACTTAGTAGAGGGTGCAGCTATGGTTTTTGTCAGGACAATATGTGTGCAAGTGCTGAAAGACCACCTGGCACAAGAGGAAGGGATAGATTTCTGCACATTGCACCAGATTCTCAGAATTGTTCCTATTACACTTGTTCAGAAAAATAGTTGTGCAACTGTTTGCATGTTGAGTTTGTTACCAAATTCAAGATTCTGTTAAGCTTTCTTTGTAGTAGATTACAACAATAAAAATATTAACACAAAAGTAAACTTCAGAATTGTCAGGGTTGTCATCAGTCAGTTGAGGCTACTTGTTAAATCAGTTTCCGTCTTGCTTTCAGGTTCCTAAGTGAACACACAGTCTGAAATCAGTAGGAAAGGTTAGGTGCCCCTTTCTATGTGCCCCTCTGCTGTGCATGTTCTAAATACATTGGAGGGAGAGAGAGAAAGTTTCACTTATGTCACTAAACATATGCTGACCTGATTTTGATCTCAAAAGATTTTCATAAAAGTTCAGTGTAATGACAGCTAGAAGGGAATACTGTTGGAATCTTCTCCATGTGGCTGCAGTATATGTAATTTAATGAATCCTCAAAGCACTTAGCAAATCCAGAATCTTTGTTTTGGAAATGTGCTTGTAGCTTTGGAACTTAGTTATTGATTTTGTGAATGTTCAGATGTTTAAAGATGTGTTGTGAATTGTGTGGATTGATCTCTTATTCTAAAGTAAAAGAACATCAACTGATCACTTTGGAAATAGTTAAATCCCTGCTGTAAGACAGAATGGTGAGTGTTTTTTTCACTTTCTTCTTTGTCTTAAATTCCCTTTGCAATGATCAAGAGAGTTGTCCTGGCAAGCTGATAGAGATTCGTGGAAGAGCAGGCTTATTTCTGGAAGGGCGAATTCATCCTGCATTGGAAGGTGTTGAGATTGTCATTGGTAAAAAGGGAGCAACTTCCCCACTCATCACAGTTTTCACAGATGCCAAAGGTGCTTACAGGTAATTAACAGATTTGGTTTGATCTTTTGGATTCTTTAGTTAGATTGCAGTGGTGAGTTAGGGGGTGTGTGTGATATCCAAGTGCTGTTTTTTAAAACCACTTCTTCTTTCCTCTTATTTGAAGTGTTGGGCCGCTGCACAGTGACTTGAAGTATACAGTTACTGCTCAGAAAGAAGGGTTTGTTTTGACTGCAGTAGAAGGAACAGTTGGAGACTTCAAAGCTTTTGCTCTTGCTGGGGTGACGTTCGAGGTAGTGTTCTAAACACTTTGGGTTCTGAATGGATAGTGTGTGCTGTTAGAGCTAGACAGGCAAAAAATTAACTTGTGGTTGGTTGGGACACACAAATAGGCATGAGATTTGGGGATAAGATAATTTTGTAATGGGGAAACCAATCTCAGTGGATGAGCTTAGCTGTAGATCATGACTTGCCATGCAGAAGATAATTTGCAAAGTTTATAGAGTGAAAGCTAGGGCCTGCTGTCCAGAAGACTGGCTTTATTTGCTTCTGTAGAGTTGGGCCTCAAGGTGATCCTTTTTCATGTACAGTCTGGTCCAACTAGTGCCTGGTTCTAGGCCTCCAGCAGTGATACAGTGGAGTGATACAGTATGACTGTGCTGGTGACACGTGCTGCATGCAGCTGTGGCTGCCCAGATGTTGGCAGCACAAACTCTGGTAGCCCTGCAGTCTTGCAGAGGGCAATATGCTGCAGATGTGGCTAGTTGTCTTCTGCTTACAGCGGGGTGCTCAGAGCTAGCACATCTGTGCAGGCCATAACGAGCTTCTGAACTGAACTCTCCTTTGTAAACTTACATGTAAAACTATTGCTTTTTCAAAACCAGATCAAATCGGAAGATGACCAGGCACTTGCTGGAGTTCTCTTGTCTCTTAGTGGAGGGGTGTTTCGATCCAACCTCCTTACACAGGATAATGGCATGCTGACTTTTTCCAATCTGGTAAATTGACATTATTCTTCTGAATGTGGCTGCATGTGCAACACTGTGTGACTTTGTCCTCCAAAGTAGGGATGCTGTTGGCTTTCTTCAGTGGCAGGGGTATGTATGGTCTCCTTTGAATTTGTAACCCACAGTGAGAGATGTAGGCCCCTCAGAGTGGACAGCACTTAAAATCCTAGCAAGTGCAAGATGTGAAATCTAGCCTGGCAAGAACTTTCTCCCCAACAGGTAATAGATGATGTTGATTGATCTAAGTTACTAATTTGCAGTCTGTAAACATGAAACAAGCCAATATGCTGATGATCATTTGCAAGTGTTCAGAGGAAAGAAATCTGATTAGATTATTGATCTGTACATGTGTGTGGACATGCTTGAATAGTTTCCTTACAGACATCTTTCTTCTGTGGTCACTTTCCTGTCCTTGAGGTCTTGCAGTAAGGTTTCAGAGCCAGAGTTTCCTTTTCCTCTTGAGGCTTTATCACCTGGTAGAGTTGTGTTGGTTTGTTGTTGAATGTGTGCCCCCTGTTTTTCAGTGCTCACAATTTCAGACCAGTAAGTTGGGACAGAGAACTTAAGTTCTACAGGGAGCTCTTGCAGAAACGTAATTGTTTGGAGTTGGTGAATTTTTATGTTGCCATCAGCTTGCTTTATGCTTCTTTGCAGAGCCCAGGACAGTATTATTTTAAACCCATGATGAAGGAGTTTCGCTTTGAACCATCATCACAAATGATTGAAGTCCAGGAAGGACAGAATCTTAAAATTCAGATTACTGGCTACAGAACAGCTTACAGGTCAGCAGAGCTGAAATGCCATGCAAAATGCTATGTTCTGTATCAGGATGCATTATGCAAAATGTGTGTTTTCTCCTGATACACCTCTGTTCTGAATGTTTGGAGGGTACTTTTGAAGGCACAATTTAAGTTCTTTTATGCTCTGTGTAAGTACTTTTTTTAACCCTTTTTCATACATGTGAGAATAGTTTATGTGGCGTAGCGTGTAGTGTAGTGTCAGTGGCACTGGACATGGCTTGTGCTCTATCCAGTGGAAGAGGACTAGTCTAGGGATGGTAGACCAAGTCAAGTGACTTCAAAATCCTTCTTTTCCATACCCCCAGGGGTAATGCTGCTGTTTGTGGAGATCAAGGAACTAGGATTCCTCAAGTTGTGCTCTGAACTGAAGCTAATTCTAGTGCTTAAAGCGGTTTTAAATAAATATACGTTATAAATTTCCATGCTATGGTAAATATATTAAGTAATTTTTCCAATGGTTATAATAATAAAATGTCTTTAAAATGTGCATTAAAACAGCATCTGGATGTCTGTAACAATTGATTCTCTTTATACCTTTAGCTGTTATGGCACAGTTTCTTCTTTAAATGGAGAACCTGAGCAGGGTGTCTCAGTAGAAGCTGTGGGGCAGAAGGATTGTAGCATCTATGGAGAAGACACCATAACTGATGAAGAGGGCAAATTCAGGCTCCGTGGCCTTCTGGTAAGGATTAGAACACTCTCTGCCATTTACTTCAGTGGTAGTATGATAACAGAGCGATAACATGTGTTTTATTAATCAGCTACTGATTTCTCTTTTCCCATCACATTTACTAGCTCAGATTCCCTTGAGTCTTCCTGTGTTAGGAAACACTGTCATGTAGTGAACATTCATTCTAGTGAAGGGGAAAAAAACTTTTAGTGTATGTCTGGAACATGGTGCCAGCACACTGTGATGGCCTGCCACAGACACTGAGCAGTTCTCACAGAGAACATGAGCCCTGGGTCAGCATACTGTGAATGGGTCTAACAGGTGCTCAGCAGTGGTCAGGGGTTACAGCAGGGAATTTTCTTAGTCAAAAGTCTTTGGGGAAGCATTTGGTTGTCATGTGAAAATACCATGACAGCGCATTTTTAGCATTTTTGGTGTATGTATGATGTTGGGTATCCAGCATGAATGTGAAGTAAACTGTTCTGCAGGAGATGTGGAAGCTGAATTTATGGGAGCGTGATGAATGGAGTGTGCAGTTTCCTGAAGTAGAAAGCAGTATTTGATCAGGTTTTAATCCTGTTTAATGTGTTTTCTTCCTAGCTAAAACACTTCACAGGAGATGATGTCTTTTAATAATGTAATGTAGTAAACTAGTGAAAGCTCTGTGATAGCCCTTTAGTGTTTTCTGGCAGTAAACACTCCTAATAGTATTACTGAGTTAAATTTTCTATTTGGGATAAGGAAAACTTGAACTGGATAGAGTTAGATCTGTTTGGGTGATGTATCTTAAAAGGAATGTTAGAAAATTCTCTTATGTTTTATAAGAATAAAGTATGTATTATTTGGTGTTGAGATTTATCATCTGAATGTTCCTTTTAGCCTGGTTGTGTGTATCATGTCCAACTCAAAGCTGAAGGCAATGATCACATTGAAAGAGCTTTACCACAGCATCGGGCAATTGAGGTATTATTTTCTGGTTTTGTAGTGTCACTGAAGTATGAAGTGTATCTTTCTAGACATTGTGTCCTGTCAGCAGCAGGGTAGTTGAACGTGTTCTCTTTAGACAAGGGGTTTTCAGCAAGTTTACTCCATAAGTGACAGGCCCCATACTGTTTATCAGCACCATAGCTTACAACTGAAGCAAGGTAAAGGTCAAACAGTACACAAGTGCAAAAGATTATTCTACTGTCACAAAAACTATACATGAACAGACAAGAGAATAAATATATAAATAAACCTTTCAGCTTTTTTTTTTTATGATGTGGAACAAAACAGTAGTGACTGGAGGATGTCATAAATTATCATAGTATCCTTCGTCTTCAGCAATTGATTGATTTTATGTTTTATTTGGTCCAAGTCCTGCAGTCTCCATGTAGGTGAACTTGTCCAGACTAGCAACTCTTTATATAATGTAATAATAAGTGAATTTTTTGAGTTGAAAAACCTTTGAATTGAAAACTGATGGAATCTTGTTAAATATTCCTCCATCCTTACAGATTCAGATTAGCTGCCTTGCATTTAACTCTTCACATCCAGCAAAGGCTAGTTAGCTTTCACTGATCTGTCCAGAATTTTCAGTGGGAGATGGTCATTATTTGATCTCAGACATGCACCTGATCAATGTGTCCACCTTTGCAGCAAAGTAGAAGGGGCAGAAATCTTTGTCTTTTTTTGAAGTATGCCTTTTCTCTGAGAGTGCTTCCTGGTTGGGAAGGGGAAGAGAATGGCAACTGAAATTCCAGAAAATCCTGTGAAGGTTATGTGCTGCAGGTGGTAGGTGTGTGCAGTAACTTGTATTAATGGCATCCTGGCCAGCCTGCCGTGTTCTCCAGGACGGAGAAGCATTTGAAAGACACTTGCAGGAAAAATGTACCTCAGTGGCACCAGACTGTTGATATGGCACCTGCCCTAACCATAACCTATCTGCTACTGTAGTTATTAATTAAGTAAATGTCTTTAGTTACTCTGATGAGAGTATGAATTTAGGAGCACAGCTGTTCTTTACTCTAAACAATTTTGAAGAATAAAAAGCTATGTATTTTTGAAGTATATGAGCATATTTGTCATTAATAATTTGTATAAACATCCTAGCATAGTGATCTGCATCACTTAGTACAGGTGCAAAATACAGGGACCAGTGTCCAGACATCAGGCAGTCCTGTGTACGTAAATCAGCCTCTGCCAAAGTAATGCATGCTTTTGACACTATTCCATTTTTAGTTTAACTTAATGCTGATAATGCAAAAGTCTGTAACTGGGAGCTGTATGCTTTGAAGGAAAAGTACTTGCAATTGGAAAGCCTTCAGGTTTCCATGTGGTTAGTACAGAACAAAGTTCACTGCTTGTTTAAGATTATGACCAATATTTGTGTTGTGCTAACTGTGCTGTTAACTGTTGGTAAAAATGTGACTGTGTTTTGTGTTGCAGGTTGGAAACAGTGACATTGATGATGTTAATATTATAGCATTCCGGCAAATCAATCAATTTGATTTAAGTGGAAATGTAATTACATCTTCTGAATATCTCTCCACGTTATGTGTAAGTTCAAGCCTTTCATCTTTGTCAAGTGTATTTTTTACTGATTTCCTTAGTTTTTTTGCAGAGTCACTGGAAATTGTTCAGTAGCCAGAGCACATGTATAGTTTAGATTATAGCTAATACTTTAAGGAAAGTGAATTTGAATTCAAGACAGAATTAAGATTCCAGTGTTCCTCACTGTTTTGCTTTAAATGTTTCCATTTTTCATTAGAGTATGTTCAAGAAATACTTTCTCAGATTGGCTTGTACATTTTTGGGTCTGCTTCACAGATTAGGAGTGCCCAGTCTGTAGGGAGAGCAAAACACCAGAGGTGACCTGAGTCCTTTGTATCAGAAAACTGCATTAATTCCTGAAATACCTGGAATTTTTGACATGCATGTCTGCTAGCAAGAAGATAGTATATGAATGCAGCAATACTGTAGGACACATGAACTGAAAAGTACAGTTACAAGAGACAGTATGAGATAAACAATAAACCTGAAATTTTTAAAATTTGAAAGACTGTACTGTGGTCTGAAAAAAATTACTGAACACCTGTACTCCTTTTGGCCTAGGGTGCAAATGCTGGAAGTATCTGCAAGAGGTGTTAAGTGTGGTAGGAGTTACAGTACCATTTCTCAGGATTAAAATATTTTTTTGAATTACCTACAAATATAAATGCAATGCATAGATTTCTTTCAAAGTAGCCTGTCATCCATCTCACCTCCCAAGATCTCATTGCTTAGCAGTTGGGGTTTTTTTGGGAGACATCCAAAGGATCCAACATTCAGAGGAGGTGTGAAGGGAAAACGTATCACCTTACTGAAGAGCACCTGAGCAAGCTTCTGATCTTTCTGGGAAAATTTAGACCCTTACAGTTCAGTCTAAGCAAATAGGAATTGATGTCAATATGTAATTATATAGAAATTATCCAAACCTGTACCTGTTTTGTATTAGATTGGGTCTTGCATTGCAGGTAGTACATGTGCTGTTGATGGGTCTGTATGAGCAACTGGAAATGCTCTAGTGAGCTGTGATTGCAGGTGCAACCATGGTAGCACTGGGCAGAATCAATGAGTTTAGTAGGGCTAAAGGAGAGATGAATCTTGGCAGATATCTGATCCAGAGGTTTACAAACAGTGGTATCAATGCTAGAAGGCTGCTTCAGAGTGGTCTGCAAAACCCATCACTTTGTTTACTGTGTCCTCTGGAGAAGATACAGTGGCTGATAAACATCTGTGTGTACAGGCAGCCTCACAGAAGGAAATTCTGCTGCCCCTGGCAGCCTTATACAGCTATGATGCCACCCTCTTAATTATGTAAGTTTCTGAGCAAATTGTATTTGTTGAGGACTTCAGGCCTATTCTGTAACTTGAGGATGTCTAGCTTATTAAGTAAGTGTAGAGAAATTGAAATCAAGCAAAATGAGCCTGTCAGAGAAATCCCAGCTGCAAATTCCAGTGAAACTGCTGGGATTATTTAAAACAATTACTTCTGGTTGATGCACAGCACAGACTAATTTTAATATGTTAGATACGTAAAAATGTCAGACATCAGTTGTCCCTACATTATTTTCAGTTCTGTTAAAAGACTATTTCTGTGACTTCTCACATCCCAGATGAGATCAATTCCAGGTGTTCTTACTTGAGAACTTCCTGTTTATAAAACATGATGAATTTTGAAGTGCTTTTATCCCTTAAGATGTGAGGTGTCTGAAAAGTCTGTTGTGGTGCAGGTTCAGAAGTACCTGATCTGTACGTCTTCCCTTCACAGGTGAAGCTCTACAAAAGTGAAAACCTTGACAACCCAATTCATACAGTGAACTTAGGCCTATCCCTGTTTTTCCATTTCCCACCACTGCTCCGAGATGGAGAGGTAAGAATATTGCTGAATAATTAGCTTAGCTCACTTGAATTCTTTTCCCTAAGGACACTGAAGTGTTATTTCTGGTGTGCCGCAGTACAGTATTCATGCTGGAGTGACCAGTGTCTCAGAAGATGTGAAGCCTGTTAAACTGACATTTGTCTTTAAATCTGATTTTGTCTCAGACTGCTGCTGGTGCTGTACACTGAGTGTATTTTCTACCCACAGAATTACGTAGTGCTCCTGGATTCTACTTTATCTAAATCACAGTATGACTACACCCTGCCTCAAGTCGCGTTCACTGCTATTGGATATCATAAACACGTTACACTGATCTTTAGTCCCACTGTGAGTACAAAACACTTAAATTTTCAAGTGCTCACCTTGAGAGCAATGTCTGGTAATAAAGCCTGCATGTATTTTATGATCTTGGCCAAATTTTCTCTTAATGTAAATATAAAGAGGTTTATGAGAGGTATTAAAATGACAAATAATTTGGATTTGGCCACATTTAAGTCATCAGCCAGGGATGTAATAACCTGGTATATTATGGGAGGCAGGTAAGGAGTTCAGGAAGGACTTGTGGTCATGATGCTAACTGAAAGGCTGCAGCAGCTGGGGGCTGAAGGAGAAAGATAGGATTGTTGTTAGAATTCCTTTAAAGACTTCTCTGTATATGAAAGAAGTGTCACCAGGACAAAAAAAGAGCTTTAGTTATTGGAGCTGAGGTAGAGCGTAAAGCGAAGGGGTTTCAAGCTAGCATCAGGGGAAGACTCCCTTGAGAGAGAGCTGTCTTTTTGCACTTCTAAATGGTGCAGTCAAGTTTAGTGAAGTGTTCTTTCTGTAATACTTAAATGATCTAGTTCTTTTCTGCGTCAGTGCATATTCAGATGCCAACAAAACATGGGGGAAATCTGAAATGGCAGTTGTAAATGAGCAGTGCAGATGCGCCTGAGAGATGTTGTGCTTGTGTGGTTGCTCTACTATTATCATTGAGATCACAGAGATTTGGGCACTGCATGACAGGTAAATTAAAGAACACCAGATTGACTGTCAAGTGGAGACTTGACTCTCAGTGAATTGGCTTTAAAAAACAATGGGCCCCAGGAAGAAGGTAACAGATGAATAAACCTGATCAGGGGGACTGCCTTGAAGTTGAAGGTAAATCTTAGAGCAGCACTTAGAAGGAAGTCAGATGGGAAGGGCTGGATGTGCTGCATGATCCTATTGCTGACATTGCTTAAAGCTGAGGGATTTCATAATTAAAATGACTGTCTAAAAAAAAAAATCCCAAACCAACAAACCCCCTATGGTCCTCACTGTTTTCAGAGGAAGCTGCCTGAACAAGATATTGCCCAGGGATCTTACATCGCCTTACCACTGACTCTGCTTCTGTTGTTGGCTGGTTACAACCACGATAAGGTGAGTCATAGGGGGTTTTTTTGTCTTATCCAAATATTGTCCTATCAATGGATACTTTGTACTGTGTTAAGTGAGGGTTTGTTGAGGTCGTTGTCCAGACAGAGATGCGGTCAGCTGTCACCTTATGTGACATATTTTAAGAAAAGCCACATTGTAGCCAAGGTTTTGGACAGTTACCTTCCTTTAAAAAAAATTAGTGTGAAGCTGAGTTCTTATGCTCTTTCTGAATTTTGTCTTGTTTGATGGCTCTGGGAGAAAACAAACAACGCAGCATCATTCATATTCAGATAATCAGCCTCAGTGGTAATGGGAATGAAAATAGTTATTTTATTTGGCTCAGAACAATCAGACTGGAAGAAATCTTGCAAGTCACTGAGTCTCATCTCTTCATCTTTACACCCTCCCCGGTGAAAAGGTGTCAAGAGCAATATACTGACTACATAACCTCCTGGTAACAAGCCATACTCTTCTAGTCTTCTCTGATATGACTGGATTTCTGTTTTACTGATAGGATAAAAGAAATCTGTCTGTGCAGTTTGGTTTCCTCTCCAACATGACTAAGGCAGCACAGCATGTGGTATTCTCTGGAATTTTCCACAGATAACTGCAGGGAAAAAATTTACTGACAGTTATTTTAGTCTTTTGATTATCAGAAATACCCAGAAGTTTGGTTTGCTTCCTTCCCAAGATTTGCTGCCTTTTTCTGATGTCTTTGGAGATGTACCATTTATGCAGTAGATTCTATTTTTTTTGGGCATGCATGAGTGTAAAGAATGTTATCATTCAGACTTACATACCATTGTAATCACAAATGACCCCTTTTCCCCCCTTTTTTTTTCCTAGCTTATTCCCTTATTGCTACAGCTGACAACTCGCCTGCAAGGAGTGCGTGCTCTTGGCCAGGCAGGTTCTGACACAGGTGGCTCAGAGGATGCAAAGAGACAAACAAAGAAACAGAAGACAAGACGGACGTGAGATGGAAGGGGTGATGCATGCAGTGCTGCTCTGTCAAACTGCAGCTTGAGAAAGTGAAGCCACTAAAATGCATTTTTGTTGAATTTGCGGACTTTACATTTTCATTGTTGCACCATTTGTCACACTAGCTCCATTTTGGTTGTAAATTTTCTATGGACTCTATAGATTTCCTTGTTGTAAAGTAATGAAATGAATGCCTATGTTGTCATTGTGAGTGCATCTCCTATACTTGAAGACAATTAATGAGGGTTTTTCCTTTTCAGTGGAACAGTTCATGCTGCCTTCATTAATGATTTGTGAAAGTCACGGTCATAGGCTGTTTGACTTGGCTTTCAGTCTCTGGATTTTGGGGTCACTTTTCCTGACCCTTTAAAATACTCGCTGTACAAAAGCAGCACATAGGGACTTTACTAAAGCAGTGGTGCTTGAAACAAGAAAGTTTTGGGGGGCATACATGAGCTGGTGAATTGTCTTTGGCACTGCCAGTTCAGCGACTTGACTGAAGAGTCTGTGATCTGCACAACTGTGGTTTCAGTTCTTAGCTAATGCTTATGTTACCTTTGAGTAAAATAAAGCTTTTGCCAAATGAAGACAAATTGTTAATGTCAGGTAGGGCTAGTTGTTAATGTCAGAGAAGTTCTGGTGATCCTACTGCAGAAGCAGTGTTTAAATCTCAGTTTCATATACAGTGTGATCTCTTTAGACCTCCAGTATTCCTGAAGTGGCTCCAGCTGGTTGCAGTATTCTTTCCAAAGCTGCACTGTGCTGTTGGTGATATCTCTTTGCCTGCGTGGCTGTCATCTCCTGCTCAGGTCTTCTTGTCAACTGCTAATGGATTTTTTTTTAAAACTTTTTTTTTTTTCACTTTAAGAAATATGAGCTTTTCAAAATCTCTGTGTACAGTCCTAATAATATGAGAAACAGTTATTTATTACAGGCTGTCTTTTGATTCTTGTTTGAAGTAGACAGTTGGACATACACAGTTTAAATGTTAATGGGGCTTTTTATTGACAAATAGTATAAAGGTTAATAGAGCTTTTGAAAGATGCACCCAAATGCCCACAAATATTGCAAAGACATTAGTACTGCCAGTAAGTGGCAATGTTTCTCTCTGACAGTACTTGGAATAAAGTCCCTTTACATTTAAACATTTAAGCTTACAAACCTTACCATTCTTAAAAATTTGGATGACAAAGGTTTTATGCTATTTTTGTTTGTATTTCGCATTACTTTAGGCCTAAAGAATTAAAACTTTGTTTGGTGGTCATTCTAATCTCTGCAGATAATTCTACCAAGATCATAATAAAAATGAAGAATATTGAAAAAACATGTATATACAGAGTTGGTGATGAAGCTCTAATAAACCCACATGCTCTCTACTTAATGACCTTGCAGCATATGCAGGGGAAAAAACTGTTTTAGGACTGATAATAAATTGTACATTGTAAATACACCTTCATTTTAAGCTGTTGAATGTTAAGAAAGGTATTGCTACTTTGGGGAATGTATGAGGAAAAAATGCACTTGTCCATGTGCCTTGAGGGAGCACCAGATATTGTGACCTCTGAACTGTGGGACTTGATAATGAGTGACCTTAAACATTGGAAATGCTGTTAATAAAAAGAAAAAAAAAAGTGTTTGCTAATTTAATGCTTGCTTCTAAACCTAGGATTACCCAATGTCTCTTCTCAAATTTTTCTTTTCTTTGCGTTCTGCAGCACACTTGTGGCCTCTGCTTTTAGCCCTGTGTTTTGAGGTTTATTTTGCTTTTAAAGTATTTATTCCTAACAAAAACTGCAGCTTGCAGTTTCTCACTTGGCAGAGAAGGCATGGTATTCTTTGAGAACACGGGGAAAACTAATACACGAGATAATTTTCTAAAGCAGAACTACCTGTCAAGAAATCAATATCTCCTGTTATATTTAGAAACCCATAATTCAGACACAAGCAGAAAAATCAGCAATGTAGTCTCAAATCCCCAGAGCCACATGCATAAAGCAAGGCTAGGCTCAGGTCTGTGCACTCTAGCCATGAACTGGGGTGCTGAGAGGGAATCTAGGTATCATTTGCTTTGCACGTCTAGGGTTTGCAATTGATTTTGTGCTCTTAGAACCAAGCATTCAGTACTGGCTGGACTGGCCTTTTCAGTGTTTCCTATTGAACGTGTCAGGTAAAGCTGCTTGTTGCAGCTTTAATTTATGTTAATACAGAGAATAAATGCAGAATAGGGCTAACATTTGTATGTTGACTTGCTAGGAAACATTGAAGGGTCAGCATTTGCTATTCTTTTGCAGGCACAACAGTGAAAGAACAACTAATTCATTTGCTTGGTGAGCTAAAATACAGGCAAATGGCTGAATTTTGCTGGAAAGGAGAGTAAGGCCCTCTGGATATAGATGGCATGATGTTACTTGATTTTTCTATCAAAATAAATGATGAATATTACATATATTTGGCTCATCAGTGATGCACCGAGTTCTATTGTTCAAGAATGAAATGGATCATTAATAGCGAGTTTTACAATTTAGAGATGGTTCAGCTTAGTTTCTTTATTAGATGGCTGTCAGGTTCCAAGAACAAGTGTTTTTTTCTGCCTAAGTAACAATGTTGTTAAATGAAGACACAGCAATTTAAAAAATATATGTGCTTAAAAGCAAAACCCAAATACTTAAAGCAGAGAAATGAGCATTCTTAGCAAGGATGGAGAAGCACAGGTTTCTTTGTAGTTAATAGTCTTTGTTGCATTTATTTTTATAATCTAACTTTAAATATTTGCAGAGTTGCACTATTTAATAGGATACCTCATTGTACGAATCACATTCTTGGGACCAAGTGTTCATTTGTTTTTCTTAATTAAGAATATGTAAAATGACAATGCAGTGTGAGATTGGGTCTGTAGATTTCTCTGGGGCTTAACAGGGGATGAAGTGCCCCATGTGCCAGCCATCCGCAGTGCGGGTTAGGATTTCAGGGGAAATCTCCACAATAAATGTTTCTGCTTTATGTGCCCATATACTGACTGAGGCTCCCCACCTCCTACTGAGTTACTTTCTACACACCAGAACAGCCATGATCCTTGCTGACTTCTCCAGCTCACCAGAAAAAGAAAGAAAATGAAATTAATTTGGTCAAGGCTGACAGTAGGTATGCCATCATCTGATATGGCAGCTCAGTACTATGGTGTTATCCTTAGATATTTTGTTTTCTATCAGCAAATATGTCCCTACTGTGAAATTAAAAGGACAGAGCTGTTGGCCTTCAGTGTCACCCATCTGAGACCACAACTTAATTGCTGCTGCTGTTCCTCCTTGCGTGAATTTTGTTCTTTGGATATTAAAGTCCATTTGCAGAACCAGCTGTCTTAATAACTGATGAGCGCCTTTCTCAGCCCTGAGGAGCCTCCTGTGCTGAGGAAACGTGGACTAAACACAGGCTTTTGATGGCTTTGAAAATCCTACTAGACATCTAAGTCACTGACTTGTCTAGAAAAGCTGAGGCTGGATGTGGAATTGAGCACTGAGATGATTGGTATCTGGTTTTCCTACTATTCAATATTCCCTACTTTGTACAGTGTCTCTATTTCTATTTTTTCCAGTCTGAAAGTAATTTAAATTTGGCTTCTGGCAAAGGTAGATGCAATGAAATGAGTGGTGTAGAGAAGGCCTGAGAGGTAGCAAATTTCTTGAGCTGAGCACAGCAGCATGGGCTCAAATCACACCAAGTGGTAGGCTCACATTACGTGTGGTATGTCGTATTTTTCTTACAGAGAGAGTGGTGGCTTTAGAAAAAAATCTCTGAAAGTCTCTGAAAATCCGGTGAATCGATTTCTGATGCATTACCAAAATATGCCAGAACTCTATAATGTTTTTTTAACTTTTAAAAGAACACTGCTGATCTTATTCTCTGTCATTCAGTCATTTATTCAGACCTGGAACAGGCCCATACGTCCTTGTACAAATGAAGAGCAGCTCTACACTAATTAGCATTCTCTGAGCCTTTGTGGATTACTATTAGCAAGTGCAACTTTTCCCCCTTGAATGTTTTACAGAGCTTTTGTGAGCTTTTTACATCAGCTAGCTTGTCCTTTCAATTTTCTATTATACCTTTTGTAATTGCTTTCTGCCTACATTTGATATGTTGTTGCTTTACTCCAGTAACTTATATTATCACTTTTAACAGTTTGCTATTACTGGGATCCACATGATTGCATTATTTACTCTGTTTGCTTTAAATATCACTTTTTCCTTCTTCTGTCCCCTGCTGTCCCACTGTATTTCTGGGAATATTTGAGCTTAGTAACATGATGCTGTCTGAAGTCTTATTTTTTTGCCTTCATTGCTGAAGACCATGATTACTTTAAGCCCAATGATATATTATCATAGAGCACTGAATACTCACCAGACCATTATTGAATTTATCATCTGTAAGATCTCAATAAACAGTGAAAGATAAACCTGTTTTTTACTGCCTGTGGAATTCAGGAGGTTGAGTCCTCCTTTAATTCTCATTTTTGTCAATACTAGAATAATTAAATCCCCATCACAAAGACTCAGTTTTTCCACAGGTCACCCATCACAGAGTCTAGTTACTTATTTTTTTTAAAAAAAATAACACCAACAAATTCCCACTTTCAACACACAAAAGAAACTCATGGGAGCTTCAGTAAAACACATGGAAAGGAACTATCTTGTTTCTATGGTCTCCAGCGTTTGCTGCATTAAGGGAGTTTCTATGGCAATTAGGAAGCACACTGTGTGCTCCATTCTGTGCAGGGCTGGCTCCTTCTGGAATGAGGGGATGGGATGCTGCCCAGGCCCTCCTCTCCCCTCTCTTCAATACATGCCATGTGTGACAGATGTGGATGATTTCTCTTAGCAGATGTACTGAAGAGTTCATTAGTGCACATCTGCAGGCTTGGGGCCCGGGCTGTTTGTTTCCTGACAAAGTTTAACCAGCACTCGCGATACCCAGTCCATCTGAAAGAGCCCTCTCTGTCACGAGAGAGGAGGAGCCCTTTATGTGCTGAGAGAAATATGATTTTGTTTTAATAAGCATGGAAATTGGATGCAAATTTCCTTAGGCATTTAAAATCAGAAATAGTGTTTCCCTTCTCTTCTGCACTCCAGCTGTATGTACAGCTCCCCTTGGGGAGGCTGGGGATGATTGTGGGCTGCAAGTACAAGGGATTCTTGTCATCTTTTT